ATGGGGGGGCCTATTGTTTGAACCCCTTAGGGGCTTTTAAAAACAAAAATGTCTTTTTTTGCGCTTTATGAAACAAAGTACCCTATATTTTGTGGATGTACAGCTACATTTCTCATGTAAGTTTGCGTAGTTTTAACACAAACATTTATTTTTCATATTGCACCAGTACAGTTAAAGAGCAACCTGTACTTGTGTGCTTGTTTGTTCTGTCTAAAATGTTTATTTTGGAATAAAGAGGTTAATATAAAAAATATTTTTTTTCCGATTCATCGATTAATCGAAAAAATAATCGTCCGATTCATCGATTTTTAAAATAATCGTTAGTTGCAGCCCTAGTCTGGAGACTTTTTTAATTATAATCTGTTACTTTAAACAGAATTTAACACTAAAATAAAATAAGGTTTTTATGCATCCATGTTATACATTGGATTTTGAAATAAAAAGATATAAAAAAAAAATGATTTTTTTTTTTCTTTTTAAAATCGAAAGTGTTTTTTGAATTAGAGAATAACAATCGTTCAGTTTGGTATATTTACAATTTCTTGTTTCACATACTATATTATATAAAACACCTGAACTAACCATTTGTTTTTGTTTTTTTTGTTTATTTATGACTTAATGAAAGCAGTGGGCTTTATGCTGCCCTTCAAGGCTTTAAACCTGGGTTTTAATGGAGACAAAGCCATTCTCAAGCACATATCAAGGTGCTCATTCGTGAGCTTGGAATGATATTTATTTTTTATTATGTTCATGGAGGAGAATCCTGCTTCACAGCAGCAGGTTGAGTCAAACATACTCAAAATGTGCAGGGTCCTCTTTGAGCACGCCATTTCACCTTTCTGTCACCAGTTCACCACAGTTCTTCCATCAGTACACACTTTCTCTGCTCTATTTTTCTCATCTTATTCTCCTTTCCCATCCCCTGGCTTACCACAGATTTGCCTGCTGTGTCTAAAAGTGTCTCGCCACAGCAACACAGACTTACACAGCTCATTGGCTGATTTGTATGACGTGTAGAATGGTCCCGGGCGCTCCAGAACGCCTTACTATATTAACAGGAGAAGCGGCGCAAGTGAAGTTAGACACTGTCGTCGAACAACATGCGGTAATTTATAAATGTTTTAAATCAGGTTGGGCCAGGATTAGCCAGCAGGTGGATCCGTGATCCGTGACCTCTGGTGACCTCTGGTCTAGAAGGTATCTACTTACGGAGGCTGAATGCAGATCTCTGCCACATTTTTAGTTAAAATATAAATCCTTCCCACCTACTTCATTATTATGAATAGTTTTGTGTTGGTCTAATGCAGTGGTTCTCAAACTTTTTCTGTCATTCCCCACTTTGGACAAGGGGGAATTTTCAAGCCCCGCCTGTCCCCATCGCCCCAACACAATGCTAATGAAATATGAAACAATCTTAAAATGTTCCAATTTTATTGAAGTAACAAGTAGTATCTAAATACAAACTATCTACGTCAAATAACAGCAAGCTCAAAAATAAAGAAAATAAAAATGCAGCTGTGTCAAAATTTGTATCAAGCTCAAAGATAGAAAAAATTAAAGTTCCACTCTGCAATCTGTTAAAAGAAAATAAGTGAAATCCAACAGGCAATACAGGTCTATTTATCCCTGCATTAGTGGCTGCAATGAGCCTGTTTTGCATTGCACAGTTTCTCAAAACGGGGTTGCAGGCTTGATACTGCCACTCTCAAGTCATGCTTTGTTTTCAGTGAAGCAGCAGCTGAAAAGCCCATCTCACAGAGATATGATGTGGCAAAGGGAAGAAGAATGCACACAGCTCTCTGCCCGATGAGTGGATACTCCCTCTCCACTACAAACTAGAAACATGAACATGTGGCTGTGTGAATCAAACGCCGTTATTTATTTAAGATAAAATATTTCAAATTCAGTTATTTATGATCAACCTGCGCCGCCAATCCCGGCGCATGTGCGCTTTATTTGCAGTCTGGACGCTGAGGGTAAACATTGCAGCGCTGAGAGCGACTCCTGCGATAGCGGGGGAGAACGGGGTTGGGAGGGAGGAGGCGCCCCACGGCAGCAGGACAAGAAAAGGAACGATACGTGCTTTCCCGTAACCCCCAGATTCCACATACTCCGTCAGCGCTCCGCTCCGCTCCGCCCCGCTGACGTACGTCGTGCGGAGCGCTTGTCTTTCATGGAAATCAATGAGAGCTGTTCCACATCCACCGCTACTCCTCCGCACGTCTCCGCCCACGTACGTCTTCTCCGTCCGTCACCGACAAATTACGGAGCCGAGCTATTTTTTGCTCCGCTCCGGTCCGGCCAGGTCAAGATCCGCAATTGCAATCGCACCAAACAGGAAAAAGAACCTTGACAAATACCGGTTCGTCAAATTAAAATATAGTAGCAACAGATCGGTGACTAGAAATTATAGCACAATTCTTATAAATATCTAAAAAATAAAAAAAACTAACACCGTTTATTTAAATGATTGGATCCAAACTATTGGTTATTCACCAACCAGGAAGCAGATTTCTCATCTCCATTAAAATATTTATTTTATACCGAGGGACTTAAAGTTTAATCAAATCCATTCAAAAGAAACTTCTTATTACATGAATGAAAAGAGATGCTGAGTTGTAGAAAACAAGTTCATTTAAAAAAAAGCAGTTTTGAATTATCCTTATCTCTGTTACAAAAATCTACAAAAAAAAAAAAAATATATATATATATATATATATATATTTGGGCAGAAACTGAACATATGCTGGATGATGGTGGGATTTTTTTAATATGTCATACTAAATTAAGCGCTCACAGGGTTCATACAGGAATGAGTGACTCTAATTTAATGCTATTTTAATGCTATTTGAAATGATTTTAATGCCATTAACAAGAACCATGTACACAAGTTATTAGTGTACATGAAATATGGAGCTGTAAGCACAGTTCCATGACTCCTGTATGTATGTAAAAACACACACACACACATATATATACGTATATATATTCTCTAGCTTTTTCTCCGCCTCGAGCTTCCTTTCCGAACATACGGCTTTATAAACAGTTCCACGCAAATTAATAGCGATATAATATATCTGACGAAATTGTTTTTAGAAGCATTTTTATTAAAGAATCATAAATGCAACGATAAACATATTTAATTAATTTTAGTGCCAATTAAGGGCTTGACTAAAAAAAGAATTATGAATTGTAATTATTTTTAATGATCCGCGGAAACCCTGGTTCATCTGGCGCATGCCCTCTACGATCTCCAAGGAACTCAGAGCGGAGCGGAGGGGACAGCGGCGGCTGTAGGCTTTGCTTTGTGCAGGCGGTCTGGAGCGCAGCGGGGCGGAGCGCTGACGGAGTATGTTCTCCAAAAGTCGCTAGATTTGTCGCTAGTCGCTTTTTTGAAAAAGAGTCGCTGGAGGGGTCTGAAATATGGCGACAAAGTCGCTGAGTTGGCAACACTGGGGCGCGAAAGTTTATTCCGTTACAAATAATATGCCGACGTCACGTCAATCATCATTTTGGCACTTCAGTTCCAGGTGAAAATTTTCTCATATCTAATGTTCTTTTAATTAGACTGCATGTAGGCTAGTAATGATTACTTTGTGGGTTTGATTAGTCTAAAAAGCGGCAACATACAGCTATAAGGACAGTTTGCTCTCACACGTTATAGTCACACACACACACACACACACACACACCGGAACTTGGCGCGCCCCACCTGTCACGTCTCAATTCCCCACCAGTGGGTCGCGCCACACACTTTGAGAACCGCGGGTCTAATGTAAACATTTCAGTCACAGTCTTTGAGGGTTTTCCCATTGCAATGGTACAATTGTGAGAAAGTGTGAATGAAAGATTAAAGCAGCTTCCAACAGTTTTGTCCATTTTGGAGATCATCTATAAAATAGGACTCCAGGATCTGGAATAAGTTCATGCAAGCAACCAGTAGCAAAGTTTCGGAATCTATTTGGTTTGTTTGATCGAGACTCTTTTTCTTTAACAGTTGAAAATGTCAGTTTACTGTATTTACCCAATTGCTTCTTTTCTTAAGGTTATTTTATTTTTCTTCTGAGAGAAAATCTAGCATATTAATTTTATTTGAACCATAACTGTCACAAAACGGGTCTGACTTAATTTATTTTAGTTCATTCTGAACTCTCCTGATCAAGTCAGTTATCATGTTTAATACACACTGCTTTGACTACTGGCCGTCACACTGTGCCATGATTTCTCCCTTTATGGATGTTCAAAAGAGTAACATAGGTGGAAGAGGGAAAGATGAGAGAATAAGAACAAAAGTGAGAGCACTGGATTACTAATAGAAAGGTCAGAACTCTTCATTTAACAGCCAGCGACTCATAAATGTCCTTGCGTCCGTGTTTTTCACCGACCTTTGTTCGCGGAGGCTTCATGGAAATGATGTAGATGAAAAAGGCAGCAGACTGTTGAAATGGGTTTATGTATTGTAACTTTGTATGGCCTTGTGTGTGTCGCTCCCACAGACAGATTCGCATGCTTCATATGCCTTTTATAACCTCCCCCCTTTTGTTAAAGGCTTTGTTTGCAATGATGACCCCCGCTCTGACTGACATTGCTCTGTTTTCATGCTTCTTTTCTTCTCGTCTTGTTTTCGCTCTTGCATCCTGTCGCTCTCCTGTCTGCTCACTTGATCAGCTCCGATCTGCTTCCTTGCCTCTGCTATTTGCAGAAAACCTCTCTGTGACCATTTTGCAGTCAGTTCAAGTGGATGAGGTGTGTATTCATATGGGTGTGTGTGCGTGCGTGTGTGAACGAGTGCGAGTCTAAGCGGCCTTGATCGGATAAAAGGCGCTGAATGAGCGCACCTGAGAGAGAGACTAATAAACATGAAGTGTTGATGGCTTGGTTTGACCTCAGACACATGCAGAAACACACATGTAGACATGAGTGTATGTGCTGGGCATGAAAAGGCAGACTGCACTGATTCTGAACATTTCTCTCCTCCTCCTTTGCCTCTCTTCTCTTAGGTGACTGATGTTGCTGATGCCATGATCCTCAAGCAACTGTTTGAAACTCTGTTCAAAACCGGTGTGGTGGTGGTGGCCACCTCTAACAGACCCCCCGACGGTATGACCATTGCATTTTATACCAGCTTTTAGCTGTTTCCTATTAAATGTATGTTTAGTGCTATCAGTTATTCAGTGGCCATGGTACGAATGAGATATTTTTTGTTTTAACCCTGCTGAAGTAGAACTTAATTTCTATGATGAAAGTTTTTTTTTTCACTCCAAGTCTATCAGAAGCACATAGAGTAAATTTGATTTCTAGATTATTTTTTAAATAAGATCCTAAATCAGAAAGCTAAGTAACCATAATGGATTCAAGTATTGTATCATGTAGGCATAATGCTGTGCAAAATGCTTTAAAGAGGCTAAAAAAGCTTTCAAAAGAAAAGTAATGATGCCCCCAAATAATTATTGAGTAATTAAAATTCCAAGTTAAGAGTTTGGTTGTAAAGGAAAGTTAATGTTTAATCAGTCAGGGAATGCAGTTGTTTGCCTGCAACCTACACTCACCGGCCACTTTATTAGGTACACCTGTCCAACTGCTCGTTAACACTTCATTTCTAAGCAGCCAATCACATGGCGGCAACTCAGTGGATTTAGGCATGTAGACATGGTCAAGACAATCTCCTGCAGTTCAAACCGAGCATCAGTATGGGGAAGAAAGGTGATTTGAGTGACTTTGAACGTGGCATGATTGTTGGTGCCAGAAGGGCTAGTCTGAGTATTTCAGAAACTGCTGATCTACTGGGATTTTCACGCACAACCATCTCTAGGGTTTACAGAGAATGGTCAGAAAAAGAAAAAACATCCAGTGAGCGGCAGTTCTGTGAGCGGAAATGCCTTGTTGATGCCAGAGGTCAGAGGAGAATGGCCAGACTGGTTCGAGCTGATAGAAGGGCAACAGTGACTCAAACAACCACCCGTTACAACCAAGGTGGGCAGAAGAGCATCTCTGAACGCACAGTACGTCGAACTTTGAGGCAGATGGGCTACAGCAGCAGAAGACCACACCGGGTGCCACTCCTTTCAGCTAAGAACAGGAAACTGAGGCTACAATTTGCACAAGCTCATCGAAATTGGACAATAGAAGATTGGAAAAACGCCTGGTCTGATGAGTCTCGATTTCTGCTGCGACATTCGGATGGTAGGGTCAGACTTTGGCGTCTACAACATGAAAGCATGGATCCATCCTGCCTTGTATCAACGGTTCAGGCTGGTGGTGGTGGTGTCATGGTGTAGGGAATATTTTCTTGGCACTCTTTGGGCCCCTTGGTACCAATTGAGCATCGCTGCAACGCCACAGCCTACCTGAGTATTGTTGCTGACCATGTCCATCCCTTTATGACCACAATGTACCCAACTTCTGATGGCTACTTTCAGCAGGATAATGCGCCATGTCATAAAGCTGGAATAATCTTAGACTGGTTTCTTGAACATGACAATGAGTTCACTGTACTCAAATGGCCTCCACAGTCACCAGATCTCAATCCAATAGAGCATCTTTGGGATGTGGTGGAACGGGAGATTCGCATCATGGATGTGCAGCCGACAAATCTGCGGCAACTGTGTGATGCCATCATGTCAATATGGATCAAACTCCCTGAGGAGTGCTTCCAGCACCTTGTTGAATTTATGCCACGAAGAATTGAGGCAGTTCTGAAGGCAAAAGGGGGTCCAACCCGTTACTAGCATGGGGTACCTAATAAAGTGGCCGGTGAGTGTATATATTTAATGTTCAAGTTAATAAACTATTTATTTTGAATTGATTTTTCAATTTTTTGAAAATATGTACTAATTTTTAATTACATGTTTGCATTATTTTTCCAAACCTGGACAGAGACATGTTTACCTCTCTGTAACAACATCAATAAGTGTTTGGGAACCAAGGACATTAACAGTTAAAGCTCTTTAAGTGAAATTCTTTACCGTTTTTATTCCTGTATAACCTCAGCCGCTTAATGGTTCAGGGTCAGCGTCGACATATTTTAAGGTTTCAGCTCTGTGCAGCCAGTCCAGTATTCATACTCGTTTTGCCACAAAGCCATGCTGCTGTAGAGCATGATGATTAGTATTATCTTGCTAAAATATGCAAGGACTTCTCTGAAAAAGACTTTTACTGGATGTCAGCATATGCTCAGAAACATCTAGGCACCTTTTAGTGGAGCCTCATCTACAAGTCATCACCCACATTTTTCAAATATGAGTCCGTCAATCTCAGATGGGCTTGGGCCCAGAAAAGCCACTAGCGTTTTTCGATGTTTTTGAGATGTGGCTTTTGATTAGCATGTTAAGAGCTTTAAAATGCACTTATAGATGTGACGACAAAGTGTTTTAACTAACAGGGGTTTACTGAAGTATGAGCCCATCTGGTAAGATAAGTTACAGAATTACTTCAATTACTCTTAAGGGATCGAAGATCACAAACATGTGGCAAGGCCTACTTTCTGAATTTTTTGATGATGTAATGAACTATAGATGATAAAATCCATTTATTTCTTGCACTTTTTTAACTGTTCGACTGTTTGTTCACTCAGTTGCTAACGAAATGACTCTTGACCCATCCTTGCTTGTAAGGAACCTTTTGGGGGAGTCCATTTATTAGCCTTTGAATGCTTCCAATGACTCTGACCAGATGGGGAATGTTCCAAGTCAGGTGTCTTATGAGCATTTTTAACCTTCTCAGTAATCTGTTGTCCTTGTCTCATATTTCTTTGGAGGTTATGTGTGTTAAAATGCATCCCCAAGTCTTACCATGCTTATTAATCTTTTACTAAACTTAATTGAATTGGACTTGTGCATCGTATTGATAACTTCCCACTCTTCTGATCCATAAATGCATCAGTTTCTAAAGTTATTTGATGCAGTTAATTTGAAAAGCAACAGAAATCCAATAGAGAAATACTGAATACTTAATAATGAACCTATTCTACTTCATTTATATAACTTGAACTTCTCTGGCTGACTTATGCAGGTGTGCTGTCTAGGCATACTAACTGATTCTAAGTTTTCTCAACTGTTATGTTCAGTATAACCAATCAAAGCATTTGGACAGCTTAATGTTTGTCAAGCAGTTATTCTAAAAATAGAAATAAAAAACTGTTTATGAACCACAGGGGGCTTAAATGAGAAGTTTATAGAAAAAGAAAAAGGTAAGGTGAGAGCAGCTTTAGGAAGTTCTTCGTTTCAAAATAGGATAATGATAAATGGGCTGTACTAGTATAAGAACATTATCAAGTCTACGGACCCCTAAGCACTTTGCACTTCATTTAGTCAGCATTCGTGCATGTATTCGTGCACTGATGGTGGCGAGCTACATTTTAGCCAAAGCTGCACTAGAGCTCACTGACAGGTGTTAGTCTGCCATGCAATGCTCTGTATTTTTATTTCTATTTGTGTTGAAACTACCCCTTAAAAAACTGGTTTAATTTTTTTTATCATCGTTTGTATTTGATGCATTAAATTGATGGATTGTAGAAAAAATAATAAACAAATGTATGTTTTCTCCAGGAAAACAAAATGAACATTGCAGCAAAACAGGTATTGGTGGGTCAAACCATGTTTTGTCTTTTTTGGAGAGAAGAGAGAGTAAAAACTTTTATTTACTTTGTGTGGAGATCCCTAAATAAATGAGCAGCTCAAAGAGCAAACAATATTATAAATGAAGATGTAAAAACACCAGTTATGTATAAAGTCTACTCAGTCTAGCAACCACAGTAATACAGTTTTTTCTTTCAATTTTTGTTCTTCCATCAAATGTAAGATAATAGCTGGAACAAAATTGCAAACTGTGTGAAACAATATTACGCTCACTTAGTGATGAAAGAAAGGTATTATGGTGCTTTTGCTTTAGAAAAGTAAACTTTACCAATATAGGTGGTTCCAGTTAAACGGGTCTTAGATTACGTCTTAATGCTACCAAATAGCCTGAACATTAGTCACCCAGGTAAAGAGAATCTAGAAAGGGATCATTTTATTTAGCCGTATACTTTATTTTCCCATGTTGTTAAAAACATGGTAATGATCAATTTCTGTCTGGAACCAAATATTAGAATTTTTGCTGAAGACGACACGTTGACTGACTTCTCATGTTGGCGCCCTGATTTTATTGTGTTTTTCTTTGTCACCTCTTATAGATCTGAATGCAGATGTCCCTTTAGTCACAGTTTCTATTGAGACACCAGCCATCTGAGCATAGACTGAGTCCACGCCATCTGGGCCCGTAAACAAAAAGGCACTCAGATCTTTTCTTCCTACCATTTTAAAACAAAACCAGAATCAGCTGGCTATGTTTAGTATTTTTTATACGGGCCACAGAGAGTGATTTGGAGTTAATTACTGATTTGTGCCATTGCTTTGCACCTGTGTTGATGCATTGTGTTTATCCACTAATTTATTCAGGTCATATATTTAATTTGTCACCTGTCTTTATGAACAACAATTAGAATTTATATCATAACAAATGGCCAAAAAGAGTTGTTGGTTCTACTGAAGCTCTGCCAGCGATATTATCATTAAAATGAGTATGTCCTATATAAAGTCTAAATATTAGGCTGCCATTGATTCTGATTTTGTACGTTTTTTTTGTCATGTTCATTGTATTCCTCTAGTAATATACCTTTAAAAAAAGAAATTGAACAAAACTGTTTTGGTTCAATTAATATGTAAACCGTAAAAGCCATTAAGAATTATGAAAACTTCATATTAACTTTGGTGTTAAACTCTCTTTAATTTAGGGCTAATGATCCGATAGTGTGTGTTTTAAAGCCCTTTCTTTAGAGATGCCTTACCCAGGCATTTGTTTTTCATTTTTGCAAGGTGTTAAGTTCTTGGACCCTGGCGAATATGGATGGAAGAATAATTTAAATCTTTGTCAAATCTATTTTAAAAATTCCAAACTCCTTGTTAAATATTTCAGTGACTGTATCAGCTCCTATTTCATTATTTCGTCTTCCTTATCTGTGTTTGCATCTCTCAGTGACCTTTAGCATTATATGCAAATTCATTTGTGTGGTGTGAGCGTCTGTTGCCACAGATTCTATCTACCCAGCTAAATATCCTTTTTTCTTTCCAGCATTTTATTGTCATTAAACTGTCACAAGTACAGAGCAACCAAAATAACTCCGCATTTAACCTATCCCCTTGGGGAGCAGTGGGCTGCCATTGTGCAGCGCCCAGGGAGCAGTGTGTGGGTTAAGGGTCTTTGCTTAGGGACCCATAGTGGCAGTCTCAGGATTCCAAGCTCTATGCCCTAACCTCAAGGCCACCACTCCCTAAATAATACATGAAATACATGCGCTAAAATTATGCACTCCAAACAGCTCTTTGTGACATAAATTATCATATAAATATTCCACACTGATATTATGAATTATCAGGTATATATTGTGATGATAATATAATGTACAGCCCTATTTTTCTGCCTTCTGTTGAATACATTTATTTGGCATGGACTCTGCTAAAACACAGTCAGGCTCCAAATCATAACAAACATACTTTATCTGATCATTTCTGTGCCTAAAATATAAAAGTTTACAAACCTTAACTCACCCCTAAAACTGTCTTGAACCATTTCACCTGTCAGACAATATTATTTTTTATTATTTTATCCCTCTTGAAATTACAATAATTCAGCATTAGTTATCCAACTGCTGTTTTATTGAAAATAATAAAATGTTGCTTATCCGGTCAGTTACTTTATTTCTTCTGTGTAGTGTTTCGTTTTCACTTGTTTTAATTTTGTTCTAAAGTGATTAACCGGAACGTTAATTGCAGCTGTTTTTAAATGTAGGGACGGTCAAATTTATATACAGCTATATAGAATCCAAATTAGTCCAATTTCTGTTGAAGTCCCTGAAGTTATTTCCCAAACCATCCAATTATCTAGTTAAATTCAGTTTTAATTTGATATTGTCAAGTATCAAATTAAACCATTCCTCTTTAACTGGAAGAAAACTTTCACCAGAACCAGTTTTAGTATGTGAAGCCATCTGACTCAACGCTGAAGACAACACTGAAGTGATAAATTTGATGTCCTTTCACAGGTGGAAAAAAGACACTTCATATAGAGTTTGGTAGCGATAACTCAACAAAACAACAAATATACAAAAGATAATGGCAAAAATGGCAAAAAAAAATGAAGGCAAGCAGTAATTCAGAAGTTGGTTACTTTCCAAGATGAAGAAGAACAAATAGTAAACATCGTAGCAGCCATTGCTCCAATATTGGTTGAAAGAAACAAAACCCCCAGAAATCCAACGTTTGCTTTGATAGAAGTGTCGGAATAATGTTAAGGTTTTGAATTGTTTCATTTCTAATGTTGATTAAAAACATCCACTGAACATCTTCATCCATGTTTACTATTAACACGAGGAATATTTCCACAGGTTTTTCTCCTTTCATCAATAGTTTAGTCACTGAGATTCAATTTACTTTCATTTTAAAGTACAAAATAAGTAATTTTATCTAACAACACATTGCTCCAACAAAAATCAATTATTATTACATGACCACACCAACTGTTCCCATTTTCACGGCAATTAACAGCAGATCTATGGGAGGGACAGCTGATGCACCTCGGAGCCTGGCTGTCTTTTAACAGCCTTTGAAGTTGCATTTACAGCCAGTTCCATGAAGAATTAGCAAGACGGTGATCAAGGTGGAGATAAATGCATGATGTGCTGTCTGACGCCTCTCTTTCTCCAGGAAGATGTTGATGTCTTAGAGCCTCTAAGTGAAGTGGGTGGCAGAAAGATGGCTCTCGTATACAAAGGCGCACATCTCTGATATTTGCCAGCTATTAAGAACAAAGCGCCAAAGCAGGCAAACTTGAGAGAGCATCTACTTGGTATTAATTACAAGGTTAATGGAGCACTAAAAGCCGAGAGAAACAACTGGGCTTGAAAGGCATACATTTTCTATCTTTATTGATGTGGAGATTTAGCTTTCAAAAAGCCCCTGTTTGAGTTAAGGAGGGGAATTTAGATTTTTTTTTCTATTGTTTTTGATTTGATGAAGTTTAGTACAATACAAGAGTTGGATAGGTTCATTTTATCTTCATTGCTATCATCATTACTAATAATTTATTCAGTAAATGAATCATCAAAATAAATATGAAACAAATATAACAAATCTATGTTGCCCCAATGTCTGTTTCTCTCCATAGTTGTAAAACACGTTCTTTCAGGAACATGCCACATTCATTTAAGAAGCTTATTTATTGGTGGAAATAATAGTTAATATAGGCAGCACTTGCCCAACAAAGATTATATTTGCAGTAAAGCATTTTAAGGTAGTGGTTAATGCAACAGTTAAAGCTGACAATTGAAGAAGGGAGTGAACAGCCAGACCACTAAGCTCCTAGTTGTTTATGAGCATAATCACTTAAAATTATGTGTTTTACTTGGTTTTTTAGTTTTTACATGTGCTTCATGAGTAAAAACGGCTACAACTTTCCTCCTATATGTTGATCCACAATTATTTGCAGCAGCAGGGTCTTTTTTTCTGTCTCAGCTAAATGAGGGAGAGAATAATTGACAGCAGCTACAGTATGGATATAAAACTTCCACTTAATCATCCAGAGTATTTGTTTAAAGTGAGCTTTGGGTGAAGAAACTACATAAAAATGCAGGAATAGAGTTTGAACTGGTTGACAGTAATGCAGTTTTACCATGGCTAAACTATTAACTGAAACATAATGACTTCATTGTGCAGAAATGTTTGGCTTTATTCACTGCCAGCAACGTGGTCACATTTTTTCTTTCACTTTACTTTAACTTTCTTTTATAAGTTCAGAAATTTATTTTTATCCTCAATGGGCAAGAATCAGAATCGAAATGAAAAAGAAAAGTATAAAAGTTTCATTGTTTACATTTTTTTCAAATATATATTACAGACCCATAAAGTCTGATGAATAAATCTCCCATGTTGAAGGGTTTGATGTTTTATTTAAAAAGCTCATTAGCTTTCTAGCTCAGAAGCGTCAGAAAATCAATGCTAACAAAAAGCTTCTTAAAAACTCTCTAATTAACACATCATACATGGTCTAATCAATCAATACAGAAGAAGTCAGCTCCCACACAGACAGCAGAGTTGTATTGATCTTTAATTTTCTTTCAAATAATCTGGTCAACAAAGGAGAAAATTAATTGATTCACAAAATATTGATCTCTATTCTTTTTACCCTTATAGTCACATGTCACTCGCAGCATCTATTCATCGGTGCAGGAGTTAGAAAGTGAGATTTATTTATTATGTGATGTTAGACTGTAGCCCAACATCAGTGTTTGTTTGCATTTATTAAGCTTCACTGTGCGCCTCACTCTGTGCGTCTTTGTGTCTGTTTGTTGTGAGCATCCCTATCTGTTTTATCTGTCTATCCGGGATGCTACTTCAGATCTAATTTGTTCCAGCCGAGCTAATTGAAACCTCTATTCAGCCAGCCGCTGTGAACATTGTCCGCGCTGAAAAGGCGACAGTCCTTTCTCTCACCACCATTGTTTGGGAATGTAATGAATTTTATGTTGCTGCCGCTGCCGGTGCAGAAATCCATTTTTCTCCCCCCCCCCCCACCCCCGATCCCCGCCACCCCTTTTGTCGCGCTTCACCACCCATCCTTCAGTTCATCAATAGCCAATTTATCTGCCAATCTGTGTTGGGGGAATGACATTATTAGAAGGCTAAACAGCAGCTCTCATGCAAGCCCTTCCCTCCTCTTTCAGATCTGTACAAAAACGGACTTCAGAGGGACACCTTCCTACCTTTCATCGACGTGCTAAAGGTAGAGACAAAGTCACCTCTCTCTCTCTCTGTCTCGTCTTTTTAATTTATTCATTTGTTTATAAGACACACCTACACGTGCTTTACACATGTGCCTCTGTTCCTGCTGTGCTTGTCCTTCTGCGAGTTTTGGTTTGATGTTCTGTGCTTCCTGGATGCCTCACACGGCGTCACAAAGCTGTCTTTGATCATGCCAGGGCACAGTGAAAAACTCAGAGAGAGAGAGGGAGAGATGGGACAGGTAATGTGAATGGGTGAACGAGCTGAGTGACTGACTCACACACTCCTTGCATTTCAAAAGTAGGGGATAAGAGAGAGGACAGAAAGAGGAGAGAGTGAGGCAACAGCTAGCCATTTCTATGAAAAAAAAAAAACATCTACTTTGCAATTTAAGCAGGTCGCATCATTATCCTGCCTGCATATGAAATGATCATTGATGTGTTTGGAGTGATCGTGATCATAAATAATTGCATAATAATTTGTTGTCAAGCATTTCACAACAGAGGAGGGCAGCATTCTGACACGTTTTATTGGTATTTAGACTAAAGTGTTATTACCTATAAAGGGATGAATTGTAGAATGTTTACAGGTCGAGCTTGAGATGTGCCGGTCAGAGCTATGTGGCAAATTTAAAAAACTCTCTTTTTGAAACATTAACAGGTTGCTGATAGTGAACTTGTGTTTTTAACTGTATCCTTCCTGCCGTCAAAAGGGGTAATTCATTTTTAGGACCTGAGGTGATAACTTACCGAATATATGAGCTGATCATTTCATTTTTCAAATGGGGTGGGCCATATGGATCTAAAATTGTATCATGATATTTGATTGTATTATTGTGATAACAATAAAAGTCATGCTGAAAAATACTATATTGAATCGTTGCAGACTTTCTGTAAAGACGAGGCTGAGAATGCATTGCGCAAAAACCATAACCTGACAATCTACGCTTTCTTTAGGACCCCAGTCACTTAAACCAGGGGGATCTTATCTGCAGACAGGACACAATAAATGCATTTTAATCATATTTAGATTTCTAATTTATCAATTCCCTAATAGAGCAACAGTGAATGATAAAATAAGTTAAACATTCTGCTTTTTTTGGAGTTTTTCTAACATCATTATTCTTAATTTATTTTGTGATGATAATTAAATTATGTCTTTTATTTCACAAAACCATAATATCCATAATATTTAAATGTAAAGACTTAATTTTTAATGATGAACAGATAATTAATTGTTTTTTTATTTGAATAATTTATAAACTGCATCTTAACCATTTATAAAAGGTAAATAGATCATCTGTGCCAAGGAGGTTATGTTTTTAGGAGAGTTTGTGTTTGTCTGTCTTTGTACAGGATAACTTAAAAGGTTATGACTTAGACAATTTTTATTGTCATTTTTTTATACAAAGAGGGCCGGATCTATCAGAGGTTTGCGTGTATAAAAACGTGAGCTATTTCACTGCGCACGCTAAAAAATGTACAAACTGATCTATCAACAGCGTGCTAAAAGGATTTGGTCTTTAAAACGTGCTAAATAGCGCCTCTTATCCATTTAGTACTTATTCTGCAATGAATATGCAATATGGGGCGTTTACACGCAAAAGTGCGTCTTGTGGGAGGAGAACATGTAAATATATTAATTTAGCACTCGCAAAGTGATTTATCGAACCTGAAAGCAATTTTGCTAACGGTATCTGACTCTATATTTAACACGTTTCAAAAGAAGGTTCAAATGGTCTGTATGCGTAATTGCGCACACATGGCAGCGGTTATTGTCGCAAGAAGGAGACATCGAAATGAAGCAAGGAGACGCAGAGAACGCATTTTTTCACTCCGTATGAACATAAAAAACATATCGTTTATCCAGCATTGCCATTTTGGAGCTGTTGGGGGAACTCCGAATGGATTTGGAGCCAGCCACAAGGAGGACCCATGCAATACCAGATATCCCAAAACTCCTTGCAACATTGCACTTTTTTGCATCTGGGTCATTCCAGCGTACGGTTGCAGCGAGAGCTGGGATCTCCCAATCTCGTTTTTCAGAAGTGCTGTCCGACGTTCTAAATGCCATGTCGCCCTGACGCCCTACCGGAGAACCCCGACCTCCCGCTTGCGCCTGTGGAGCAACATGCCAATGCTGCGGGGATGCGTACGCACAGTAATCTCATCCACAGTCACTTCTTGTGAGCCATTTGGTATGTGCATTTTTCTACAGGCCAATACAAAACACCTGTTTTTTTTTTTTTTTTACTGCAGTGAAGTAGAAATTCAGCCACATACCACCTTAGGGAATAAAGGTTGCCAAAGTTTATATTTATATATATATATATATATATATATATATAATTTTTTTAATTTTTTTTTTTTTTGGAGGGGGTGGGGGTGTCACTGTAAGATTAACATTTCTTAATGCACTAGTTTGCACAAACTACAAACTACTTTGCCGCAAACCACAAAACGCGCAAAACCATCATTTAAATAGGGCGTCTCCAACAGTTTTTCACCTGCCACCAGTTACGCAATCACTCTTGTTAAATCACCCGCCAACCATGGTTGAGCCCCTCGCGCAAAATTCCAGTTTGCAAGCGCAAATTACTGCACGCAAAATTGGATCTTGATAAATTCGGCCCAGAGTGTATAGAAAATGTTTGTTTAGTACAGCTTTCAGACAGGAAATGAAAATTTCCATTCCATAAAGTGCAGCAGTGATCAAATGTAAACAGTTTGGGAGAAAAGTAGTGTTGCTCCGATGCCATTTTTTGGCCCTGATACTGATACCATACCGATCCCATCTATTTGAAATTGATGTGTGTGTATATATGAAGAACTGCATACTACTTGGATGTAAAATAATTGCCATCATGATTTTGTCAAGCTGCTGCCTATTTTTGTGAAGCAGGAAAAAGACTGATACAAAGTGAATCCAGTGGATCTTTTTATTGCCTACCTGAATGGGTGACAATATTTGAATAAACTTTTGGCTCTCAAAATGGTTTTGGTGCCCTATTAGTTGGTACTCGCCGATGCCAATAGCACCATTTTAGTGCTGGATCGGCGCCTCACCCGATACTGGTATTGGTTCAACACTAGAGAAAAGGCATGCTGCAAAATCACATTGATATGGACGGACCTCGACCCAAGGAACACTCCATTAAATTTTGGTTGTGATCCAATCACAATCCATATACAGGAATTTTTTTAAAGGGTTCTTTAATATTATTTGGCCGAAAAGCAGTACCTCCCTAAACCAGGGAGTGGCACCATATACTATTAGCAGCTTCTGCATCAGACCCAAAAGGCCTGGAAGTATTATAATGAAGACAAAGAAAACAGGAAAAACAGAAAAAGGCAGCCATGTCTCATTCGAAGTTTTGTTTTGCTGATCAAACAAGAAAGCAGGATGAATGAAAAAGGAGAGTGCTGGACAAACACCAGAGGCTGCACACACACGCTGTGCCTTATTTATGAAAGTATTTTAAGCTAATTGTTACCTAACGTGCACCTCAATGAACAATTCATTAACATTTGGTAATGATCCAGATCATGTGCAATGAGAAATTTCAATTATTTTGTCAAATTAAAAAAGTAAAACATAACTTGCTTCTCTTGCATTTATTTATTTTTTAATTGTTTCTAACTGTGACACTAGTCATTACAAAAAAATCACTTCTTTCTTTCTTAGTACTTCATTTTTCCCTAAATTCTGAGATTTGTTTTTCTTCTTCATTAAAACATTAATTTATTAATGTTTTAAACGATGGAACTAACGACCCATTCATCGGTTACCATTGCATGTTTCCAAGCGATACAAGGCGTGTCTATATAAGACTCAAACTCACTGCGGATCCAGACATTTGAATTGAGAAAGCTTCCTGGAGAGGTGGCGAAACGTCTTCAAATCTTGAAAACCAAGTCCAGTGGATATTTTTTGAATTTTTACGAAATTAATTTATTAAGGACCTTTTTTTGGATATCATCACCTGCTCCCCCAGAAAACGTTAATATATTGTTGGAAAAGTGTACTAGGAGAAATAAGGTCTAAAGACAAATTTACATTCAGCAGGATTAGTATCTTACAAGAAGTTTTCTATAGCATTAAGCTCTACCCGAGCTCCTAAACACGAATGTTTCATGAATGTGCATCAGTCAGGTTATGCAGCTTCTTTACTTTAACATTTATTTAATACAATAAAAAACACCTTCAACTTTATATGTTCCTATTTAAGCACTCGACATGGGAAGTCTGAGTTACCCTACTCCCGCCCTGCAGCACCCTTGCCCTCTCTAATCCGCCCTCATCAAGGTCTTGAATGCCTGCTGTCCCCCCTCCCCACTCCAGAGTACCTCCTTTCTTTCTGGGTACCATGTTACCCCTTTGTCAAACCATCTGGTTTTAGGGGTTCTTTTTCTCTCTTTCTTTTCGTTCTGTGGTGGCCTGTTCTGCAAAGTTAAAGCGCGCTTTTGCAAGGGGACGCTGCTAACTAGCTGACCCTTAATAGATTGAATTAATGCTTGCAGGGAGCATAAGTCTGCAGATCACAGCTGGGCTGCGGGGGCTGCAGCATCGTTTCTATAATGAGTTGAAGAGAGAATGAAGCTGTTAAGACATAAAAAAATAGCCTCTGACCTCTGATCCTGATCACCTGAGCCACCCGCGGTGGTAAAGGTTAAGCCAGCAACTCCTTCCGCCTGAGTTGACTTCTTTATTTAGCCATTGACTTTTGATTAGTTAGGACCCACTTTCTTCCCTCCACGCACATCCGTTGACTCATCCTGAAATGACAAAAACATAAGACCCAGTTTAGTTAAGTTAGTTTTACCTGTCAAACAGGGAAAGTATGAAGTTTTGTTGGTTTTAAACATCCTTGGCTGGTTTTTACAGATGTGTGTTGGCAGTTTCAAGTCCCTTATCAGCACCATTAGAAACTCTATTCAGGCATTCCCTTTTCTTTGTAGCCATAGCAAAGCTCAGGTTAATGTAAAATACAGGGTTTAGGGG